ACGTTTAGATGCGGTACTGAGGGATATGGTTTAGGGGAGGACTTTGTAGAGTAGGGTAGATGGTTGGACTCAGTGATCCCAAGGGTCTCCTCCAACCTGAATGATTCTATGATTCTATGAAGGCTTATGAATCACTGCAGTCTGAGGCAGTTCTGACCTCTTGTAATCTTTCTGTAAAAACTCCAGGTTTGAGCTTCTTGGGGGAAAGAAATCTTCAGGCTCAGCATCCAGGTAAACAGGCAGGTAATGCAAACGTCATGGTTTGGCCCCAGACAGCATCAAAGAGCCATGCAATCGCTCTCTTGCCCCCCAACAGTCGTGGGGGGAGAATCGGAAGAAAAAGGAAGTTTAACACAACAGCAAAGGGAACAAGAAAACAACCACAATAACACTGAGAGAGGAACACACAAACATGGTTACGGTCTCACCGCTCACCAACCGGACCCAGGATGCCCCCAGCCCGCTCCAAGCGGGGACTTCCTGCCCCATCCCCAGGCCAACTCTGGGCTATAGACTGGGTATGACACACCTGGTAAGGAATACCTGTGCCCCTGCCAGCTCCTTGGGAAAATTAACCTTATCCCTGCCGGAACCCAGACAGCAAACTAGTGGGAGTTACTCTTCCCACCAGTGTATGTTGTCCAACAGACCGGTAATGTCATCCAATAAGCTCATGCAGTCATCAGTGTTTATAATAATTTTAATACATTCAGGAAGAAAGTCACAAAAAAAAAGGGTTAACAGCATTCAAGTTCTAGTCGAGCACAAACAAAAATGAGCAATGCAAATCCATTCTGTACATTTTCATTTCTTCTTCTGTTATTTTTCTTTTCTGGCTTTACAGAAGCCTTTGCTTCCCTGTTGTATTTATTTTTCTGCCCTTCGTTTTCTTCATTTCTTACATTACCTGAAATGCACTGCATTTTAATCTACATATAATAAATAAACATTAAACTAAATCATGGACAGTCTTTATCACATCTAAACCTATACTCTGGCTTTTCAGATTTGGTATTGTGGGGTGATCTGCCAAAGTTTCCAAAAAAGGTTAGAAACACCGGAATAAAAACAAGACCGTGAAGACCCCCAAACAAAATAACAAGGAACAAGATCTTGAAAAATGTCCTAAAGATGTAGGTTTTTGCAAAAGCCAGCACAAAGACTCCCAATATAGTAGAAACTGCACCTTGTAACACTGGGTAACCTAGGATGGACAGAGCTTCGATTGCCCTTTTATTGGCTGATGATTCTCCACTCGTAACAAAGGCATAGGAAATATGAGCAGAAAAATCTACTGAAAACCCTATACAGATGACCAGGTTGATCATGGATATGGAATCAAGGTTGACGTCCCAAAAGGTCATGAAACCAGCAACACCAACTATAACAGAAGCTATAGCAAAAGTCACCCACACGCAACACAGAGGGTTGGGAATAAGCAAAAGGGAGATGACGAGCATTGCCCCAGCAGCAATGATGACGTTTTGAACGGTGTTCTGCACTATTACCAGGTACTGATCGTAGTAGATGAATGCTGGGTGATACACCATTAATGGGATACTGCACTGCTTGGCTGTCTCTCTTAACTGATTGAGAAGATTCTTCTCATCAACAGTTGAGGTCACGTTCACCGTCTGGATGAAGAAACGTGAAGCTTCTATTTTATCCTGGGTCTTGTTAATGTCCCACTCAAAATTGGGAGCATTTTTGAACAGCACAGATAAGTTATTAATGAAAAGAGTCTTATCGTTTATGTTTATCGAAAAATTTGCAGCAAGATTTGTGTATACTCTTAGCCATGACTCCGAGAAGTTCTTATCGACATAGGAAATGGCCTCTAAATTCTGTGTGCAGTTCTCAATGCCAAGACGAACAGTCTCATTCCAGTAATCTACGCTTTCAGTAACGACAACCATGACCCTGGGTCCGTATGTTGAGAAGTATTTGTCGTCGTCATCATAGAATGGAATAACATAAGAGTCATCACTGGCCAGATTTCGAAGATCGATGCCTTCTCTTATCTGAATACATCCATAAATGCTTCCACCCAAATATGCTCCATACAGCAACACCACAAGTAGCTTGATCCACGTATTTGTGAAGAAAGGACCATAATACTTTTTAAAGAATGTGCTCATTGGATGTTCACTTTCTGACGAAGATGACTCCCCAGAACAGCTGCAGATACAGCAAGCATTGTACAAGCAGGACTTCTCAGCCTGACCTTTACCTACCTGCACAGGCATACACGTTAGCCAGTGTCGGTTTCCTTGCTCCCTTCTATGATTCAATACAATAATTCCCCCAAAGAAGGTCAGGATATATATATAGCAGAAGACAAAAGCTGTGCCTGTATAGAGGCAAAATGATCTCACGGATGGAAAAGCAGTCCAGGTGCCAATGAAGAAGGCCAAAACATCAGTGAGAGTGGTGATGGTCACAGAAAGTGCTGCTTCTGCATAAGTCTCGGCCAACCGAGACCTAACATCGGATTTCTCTTTTTTTCTTGAACTTTGTTCCCAAGCAGCAATCATGATGAACATGTCATCAACACCAACTCCTGCAAGAGGGGAAAAAGTTAATGCTGCATTGCAGAAGACAGCTTCCACTAACGCCCAACCAAAGCACAAAATGAATCGCATTGAAGTCTGCATAAAATTTTGAAAAAGAAAGTTAGGCAATAAAAGTGCTTTAGTGCTGTGCAAGTTAAACAGATACAGGAAAACAGATCCTTTGTCTGTAGGTGAGCTTATTACATTTCAGGAACGTCAAAATGCAAAATGCATTTTAATTGTGCAGGAAACAAAGAAACAATGTGTGTCCTAAGGAGCATTTGCATTAGATATCTGGTATGACGCAGAGCCTCTATCAACCTGAGAGTTCCATGTGCTTTCCTCAGCATGAGACCAAGACCAAGAAAATATCCCATGAACATATCGTATAGGAGACCAGGTAAGGATTGTAAAAGCAGTAATTTATTTGCAGCAACATTATCTAATGGTATTTGGAGAATTCAGCTGTAGCTTAAGCTGTATTCAGGCCCAGTTTTATGTGACCAAAGACTACACTCTGAAAACGGGATACAAATCTTACGGTAACTGACTTCCCATATTCACCTCGTAATACAGGTACTGGATTAAGTCAGTGCTAGTGTAGCACGAGCTGCACACCAGACACATTCTGTGGTGCTGCTGTTGAGCCATCTCAAGGCTGACTAACAGCAGAGAAGTAGGGAGCTCTCACTGTACTGCAAAAAGAAGTGGTCAAGAGGTGGATGGCTTGGGGAAGCCTCTGCACCTGCTTAAATTGCTGACAAATTCAGCAGTCCCATAGAACAGCACTAAAACCAAAACATTTCGGGGTAGACAATCTTATCCAGAGCTGATGAGAGATGTAAATGCTGGTAGTATGCCTATGGAAAACAGCAGGGGGCAATACAGGGGAATGTGGTGACAGAACCTGGTTGAACTCACCTCAAATATTAGCACTGGTTAAATCAATGATTAATCAGCATGGCTAAATGACAAGGAACACTAGAACAATGCCAGAAGTGCTAACTGCGCCACTCTCTCATTTACAGTTTTCATGCCACATCAGTCAAACTAAAGCTGGCATCATTTTTGGGGTCTGCCAGGGCCCAGCTCCACTCCCAGCATGGGTACACTGAGCTGAGCAGCTCCCCCACCTCTAGGAGTTCAGAGGAGGCTACACCTCCAAGTGCCTCCTCCACTCCCTGCAGGACAGAACTGCCTGTCACCTGATGCTGGTATCATAAAAGAGTAACACCATCAGGTTGTTTTAACGCCACTTCAGTCTCTGTATCTGAATCCGACTCGCTTTTTCTACTTACCTAGAATAAGAAACGGTGCACTTTGTACAGTGACCACAAACGGGACTCCACAGAAGAGCAGCAATCCAAAGCTGCTTAATACAGCTAAACCGGCAGAAACCACGCCACAGCAGGCAAGCCAGACATTATTTCTTATGCAGCTGAGCCTGAAAATATTTTAAGGAATATCTCAGTTACATCTCAAATATTTCACCAAGGCGTTTGCCATGACAAGTGAATATTATGCACAGATACCCATGGTATCCTGACTGCGAAGAGAACTCTTGGTGAAAGTTGCTATTTGCTAGGAGATCTCACAGGTACCAGCATCGGACAAGATTAATTTACGTAGGACGTGCTAAATACATTATTAGTCGGGCTCGTTATATAGCTAGGAGCAACGATGTGTGCTGATCTTTGCATCAATAACAAGAGAGCTGGCAAAATATGCACTGTACCAGCGAAAGCCTAGATTTAGGGGGACCCAGAAAAGGATGAATTTTTTGAAGCTCTTTCCTTTTTCCACAGGTTCTTGGTGTAGCGTATCAGTGCAGTATGGAAGCACCTCCCTGGCAGTAAGTGCTCTGTAGAGAAGCTGTCTCAGCAGACAGATTGGCTACCAGCCATTTGCCAAGGTGCCCCTGAGGGCTGGCTCAAGGGTTCCCTAAGAAACGGGAGACTCTGCCCTACACCCAGGGGGCAGAGAGTTGCCTCTTGCCTGGGTAGAAATCTTTTCCAGGCTGTAGACCATTTCTGAACTCTAAGAGGATCTCTCATTTCCAAGGCAAGACGAGGGCGTTGCTGGAACTGCCCGTGCTCTGTCTGCACTCACAAATGACTGGATGTGAGACAGCCAAAATCCAGAAATCGTACAGCTTAATGGGCAGGACGCTTGATGCAGGCACTAAACCAATAAGCTCACCCTCCAAGCAGAACTTCATTTCTCAAGTCCAGCACACAAACACTGCTGTACGATTGTCAAATGTACAACGTTCACTTTCCACCAGCACAATGAAAGGGCAGGATAAGTTCTCTGTGGGCAGCAGGTAAAGCTCAGGCTCTACTAGCAAGCAGAATGCCTCAAGTCGTACCAGGACTTGCAGCAATCTGTGAAGCTAGTGCTCATTCATCTGCACCTTAACTGAGCAAGTGGCAGACAAAAGGTGCAAATAGATCTTACCATGACATCCTTCCACCTCCCCCTCCCCTGCTTCCTTCCCCTTTTTAACTTATCTTTACAAAGAATTAGTATTTGTGCGCAGGATGTGGATAGAAGCTACGAATTAAGCAAGAAAGCAGTAGAATAACGTTGGCAATAGCACCACTTACTGCCTCCCTCCCCCCAAAGGATGACTTTCTTGTTTGAGTTTTATGTGTCCTTGTGGTGAATGTCTCCACTGGTTATGCCAAGCTGAGCTGGTCAGTTTTATTCAAGAGCTTGTGCAGAATTCCTTGTGCTGCTGCCAGGCTGGCTAGATCACACTTTTGTCCCGCTTCCTCTGTAAGGTTAAGTAGAACCTTTTCATAATTAAAAGTGTTTACTTTGTCATAGTGTTAAGAGATATTAGTTGCTTCGCTTAAATAAGCAAGTTTTAATTAGAATAAATTAGTTAAGGTTAGAACATTAACCATGGTCTGATTTATGCTGTGTGCTTATCTTTCCTAGCATGAGTAGCTAGATTTGCTGAAGCCTTTCAGCTGCAATAGAGTTCAATGTCTTAATAATTTTCCTGGCAGCAGGTAAAATGTTGACACACACCAATATTTTGGTAGTGTTTTCCCTAAGTCTGGGACTTTTCAGTTCCCCCTGCTCTGCCAGTGGGCACAGGTGTGCAAGAAGCATAAACCAGACAATAAGGAGGCTACAGCTGTCAGCAGAGACTGCAGATCAACAAGGTAAGAGCAGCCAACAGCCTGCCTCGACACACAAAAAGCGTCAGTAAGGTGTTGGAAGAGCCCAGGCCAAAAATCACCATTTGACTAAAAGAAGCACGGACGTGAGGGATGGGTGTACAGATAGCAAGGGTATCATTTCCCAGGGATTTCTTTGTTCAAGGTCCCTTTCTTTTCGGAGGCACCCACCTTGGGCTTACCTTGCAGCTGTACTTTTCAATTAAATTACTTATTTTTATAAAATCTGACATCTGAGACTCTGCTGCGGGAAACCTAGGGTTGAGCCTGAAGAACAAGGGAGCGTGCTCAAGAGTCTGTGTGTGTGTGTGTGTGTGTGTGTGTGTCAGGAGTTAAAAGGGCCACCCGTTGGCCCACTGGGGTCACCTGCTGTGAAGGGACCTTGGTCCTACCAGCCAGAGACTCAGGTGGTGTGTGTGCGACTCCTGGAGTGGTGCGTGAATGCTCGGGCAGCCGCTTCTCTTTTAACAACAGTGTTTTTAGTGCCAACGCTGCAGCACCTCAGAACTCCTAAAAGGAAACGGGGTTGTGTCAGTTGTTTAAAGAGTTCCAAAACCATCATCTACAAAAGTGATTCTTATAAGGTGGGGCCTACAGAAATGACTGATGGCTTCAGAGAACAGACAAATGGATACTCGCATTCAAGCTGCACGTCTGCACTGAACACTTGGTCAGGTATTCCTTCTGGTACTTATTGTGAACCCCGTGTAAGCAGTTGGGAAATATGCACAAGGAGGACAGAAACAGCAGAGACATCCATTTTGCCCATTACCACATGAAGTCTGCAGGCTCAAGAATCATTTCACCCAACAAGAGCAGAAACCAATTCAGGCAAAGCAAAGCAGAGGGAGCTCACTTCTCTGTGAGCCACAGCGTAGAGGACACTTTACCTTAGGCAAGAGACGATTGAGAAAGTTATTGTCAAGAAATATGTTACGGAGAAGAGTGGGATCACGCTGTGGGTATTTCCTTCAAACTCCTGTTGTCTGGACAGCGAGGTGAAGTAAGTCACCTGTTGTAAAAGAACAAGGAAAGAAAAGATCATAGAATCATTCAGGTTGGAAGAGACCCTTGGGATCATCGAGTCCAACCATCTACCCTACTCTACAAAGTCCTCCCCTACACCATATCCCTCAGTACCGCATCTAAACGTCCCTCAAACACATCCAGGTGACTCAACCACCTCCTTGGGCAGCCTATTCCAATGCCCAACCACTCTTTCTGTGAAAAATTCCTTCCTAATGTTCAGTCTAAACCTACCCTGTGGGAGCTTGAAGCCGTTCCCTCTTGTTCTGACGTTAATTACCTGTGAGAAGAGACCAGCACCAACCTCTCTACAGTGTCCTTTCAAGTAGTTGTAGAGAGTGATGAGGTCTCCCCTCAGCCTCCTCTTCCTCATACTAAACAGTCCCAGCTCCTTCAGCCGTTCTTCATATGATTTGTCTTCCAGGCCCTTCACTAGTTTTGTTGCCCTCCTCTGCGCTCGCTCCAGCACCTCGATATCTCTCTTGTATTGAGGTGCCCAAAACTGGACACAATACTCGAGGTGTGGCCTCACACTGGTTCCACAGTTTATTTGCATATTGTGTGAAAACTCTATCTAGGTCCCTCTGTAGGGCTTCCCTATCCTCCTGGGAATCAACACCCCTGCTTAACTTGGTGTCATCTGCAAACTTGCTGAAGATACACCCTATGTCCTTGTCGAGATCGTCAATAAAGACGTTAAATAGAAATGGTCCTAACACTGAGCCCTGAGGCACACCACTTGTGACCGGCCGCCAGCTGGATTTGAATCCATTGAGCACCACTCTTTGGGACCTTCCAGTCAGCCAGTGCTTGATCCAGCAGATCGTATGCTCGTCCAGGCCGTGTGAAGCCAGTTTTTCCACCAGATTTGTATTGAATGCAGTGTTGAATGCTTTTTGAAAATCCAGGTATACAATATCAACAGCCTTTCCCTCATCCAATAATCTGGTTATCTTGTCATAGAAGGAGATCAGGTTCGTCTGGCAGGACCTGCCTTCCATAAACCCATGCTGACTAGGGCTGATCCCCAAAATCAGATGAGGCACTTTGACTCTTTTTCTCAGGACTTTACACACATGCACAGGCAACGCTGAACAACAAGTCGGCACTAACTCATTTCCGCGGCCCTCACACCCTGCCAGGCGGCCCCCGCCTTGCCCCCCACCATCTCCTTTCCTTTCGGGCCAGGGGGCAGATCGGGCATTTCGGTTCCCGGCGGCTCCCCCGCGGCTGTGCCCACCCCTGCCTTACCTTAATGGCGGTCAACGCCTCCAGCTTCGACGGGATGTCCCGCAGGAACCCTTCCAGCCACTGCCGGCTCTCCGCCGCCGCGGAGCCGTCCTCCCGCAGGTAATACATCAGCTTCAGGGCCTGCGCCGACAGGACCCGCCCGTCGGGGTCCGTCCGCACGCCGCCCAGCGCGGCCCCCAGGAAGGTGCCGTTGGTGACGGGAAAGAAGAGGTTCCCCAGGGCGGCGGTACTGTTTAGCAGCGGCAGCAGAGGTTTGGGGCAGGGGTCGGCGCAGCCTCCGTCGCTGCGGACGCAGAGCTTGTCGAAATCGCGGGTGCGCACCGCCGCGTCCAGCCGCTGCAGGTCCCGCCCCGCCGCCCGGTCCAGGATCGAGCCCTCCGTCGCCACGGCGATGAGGGCGGCGTAGGCGCCCTCGGTGGGCATCCGCTGGGCGGAGAAGCGCTCCGAGTCGTTGGTGGGGAAGTGCCGCCGCACGAAGTCGCGGTCGGCCTTGGCGGGACCCCACGTCGGGGTGAACTGCTCCTCGATGTCGTTGGCCTCGCGTTGCGGCAGGAAGAAGAAGCCGGCGCCCAGCCCGCCGGAGAGCAGCAGCGGCACCAGCACGAAGGGCCAGGGGCAGGCGGCCACGCCGCTCCCCAGCCCTCGGAAGAGCCGCCTCAGCGGCCGCTCCAGACAGTTGGTGTTAAGGCAGGAGCAGCCCTCCTCCGCCATGGGCGCGGCGGGGGCAGGGGCTGCCGGCGGCAGCTCCCTCGCCGCGGGCGCGCCTCACGCCGGGGCCCGCTGGCGCGGCCGCTTTGTGCCCGCGGTGACAGACGCCGCCAAGGCGCCCGGACCGCGCAGGGAATGAGCGTTCCTGAGCGGCGCGGCCAGGGGCATCCCGGCGGAGAGCTAGCGCATGTTACTCAGGACTACATCCA